AATTTCTGAAATTTCGATACGAATATATATATATATATATATATATATCTATTTGCGTATAGTTGCCCGTCTCATCATTCGTTAATATGTATTCGATTCTACGAATATTTCGCCACGAGAAAGATCGCGATGTAGTTTCAAGGATTTCTTCTTCATTCGTTCCGACTAAAGTATTTTTATCGACGAGCAGCGAGAGATTGTTTTGTCGATAGGAGTAACAGATTGCTTACGCCCCGGATTTTCCTGGCTATTGTATCTCAAGATACAATTTTGCACACTCGCCCACTCGTGCACCTTATTAGGTTGCACATTCATGATGAAACGGAATAGCACGTTTATCTGCCCATCCAAGATAAAAATATTTTAGTTCCGATGATAACATTCTCTCACAATTTGAATTCACTGACAACCACTTGTCAATATTGAACGAGACATGATCTCTATTTTGCATTTGGTTTTAATGATAAAATTTTATTTGCGCTATCGTGTTTAATGAATAAATATTAAATTAATGATACGTAAGAAAATTGCAACGCGAGACATTATTGATTATCTTACATAAACGAAAAATGTAGTTAATTAACACAAATCTTATATTGAAATAAAAAGCTAATATATCCATGTATTAATACAAGCATGATATATATACATTTATTAAGAATATACTTTAGATATTTTTATTACTGCAATAAAAACTTGTGTTATCATTATATATATAATATAATAATAATTTTTTCACGTCTCTTTAATATATCTATAAAAGATTACGTTAAAAGATATTACCAGCACTTATGATGCTGGTAATAAAAATTTGGCAGATAAAATCAAAATCGTATTATTAAGCCATATCGTGCAATAGATAATTCTCTGACGTGAATAAAATTTTTTATGAACTTCATTTTCTTTGATCCAAATCAATATACAGATGAAAATTTCATCGATATCAGGTATCGCTATTTACAGAGACTCCCATTTTACTCCGTATTTATCCAACGTATTTCAATGGCGGAAGATCATTTAGCAAGAGTATGTTTGTTCAACGGTTATGGCATATGCGATTAGACTTTCGACCCATGGCTATCGGTTAACTCGTAGTACTGGCCTTTATCGTCCTAGCGTGTGAAAACAAACCCAGTCTCGATATCGCGATACATACAAGTTTATAGAATTGCTCCGCGGTTATCTCAATTCTGCTAAGTAAACGCTAATCGATAATTAACGAGGACGCATAAATTATATGCTCGGCAAGAGAAAACTTTTTTTACGACATATATATCTTCTGAAATGCGACACGTCGTGCAATTAATGATATCGATGCGAAACGAGAATTGTGTGGATATAAATTTTGCAAGTTGATAACCAAGAAACTTGGAAAATTACTCATCTTGGTTATATATTTATCTGTTATTACAGTCAAAACTGAAAATTAAGCCATTAAAACAAAACTGTGTCAAGTAAATTGAGCGATATGTCGCAGATATTTGCGAAACGAATTAAGATATAAAAATGTGTCTTTTTTTGTAATATAATTCCACAAACTTTTGTTTCAACCTGTACGTTAGCAGTAGTTTGATGTGATAATTGCATAATATCAGCGTATGCTAATTAAACAACTTTTTTTTCTTCATAAAGTAGATCTTTACTTCCTCTAACGGAAACGAAAAAACTCGCTTATCGCTAAAGGTTAAAAGATGACTTTTGCATTCCTGCTATCTATTAATATAAATCTCATAAATACGCATCGTCATACGATTCAAATTCATAGCTAATTGCGAATAACTAACAAACGTTTATAACTTGATCGTTGTTGTTGTATAAAGCAATGACGTCAATTCTCAAAGTACGTGTATAAGTGCGCAAATATTTTATTATCGTCCGCGATAAAAAGAATGATAATAATACATTGCGTTTAATTACGATACAATTTACATACAAAATAAAAGGAGAATTATAAATCTACAAGATGTCAGTTTAAAATGTATCATATATTCGCGTACAGATCGAATTTACTAAAACCATATGTGTCTATTCTTGATATAAATATCACATGTACGTATCAAAATATTTAATTTTTCACTCATGAAAGTGTCAAGTGAAATTTCAATAACTATTCTTGCATCTCTCTCAGAGTAATATAATATTTTAAACTGTCGTACTTTTGAAGACGAGGTAAAAGACGCGACTTTTCTGCGTACAAAGTCAGGGAAGAAGAATTGTTACAAAGCGATTTTTATTCAATGAATGAATAAAAATCGATCCTCGCAGTCTCAAGGCAGAGGAAGAAATTGCGCAGACTTATTGTCAGTACGAGTGCAAGGATCATTAGTCAATTTGCGTCGGCTAACATTTAAGTTACGCTCGCACGCGTTTATCGGTCTAATTGGCAGATTATGCCGGCTAATTGCCGCGTAATCTCCTGGCGGTGCTCCTGCCAAAATTAACCGATTGTATGCAGATCGTAGATTAAAGCTTCGTTAGTGCGGGCAAACGATCGAGCGACGATTAGTGGCGCGCGCAACAAATGTGTCGTAGAAGAAATTGCAGCTTCTTCTTGCGCGTCCCATCCATCTTCCTTAGACAAGTTTCACACTGTCAATGTTAATGATCGACTCGCGGTAGGCGGGATTTGATTCATCGACGTATATACGCGGCGGGTTAAAATTATCGCACAATTTTAATGATTCACTTGAGCCGCGATTACGTGTTCTGCATCGGATGTATCTAATTGCAGATTGCGATATTTTTTAGAACCATAAATATGATTCTACCATGTCGGTCGTTTACGCAAATTAATGATTACTCATCTCTTAATTATCGAGCAAACGAAATCATGAATAAAATTGGTTTGATGTAACGAATTAACAAGTATAAGCTTTTCTGTGAGAATTTACTTTGTAATAGCAATAATTACTATAATTAGTTCTTACAATGTTCTCTTTGCGTTAGGATTCGCGAATCTGATGGTAATAGATTAGATATAATAGGATAAAAAAATATAATGACGTTTCCGTTTATTGTTAGAGCATTGTATAAAATCGAATAATCGATACCAAGAATTTCGTGGAAATATATAATAGTCGAAGATTATTGAGCAAGTATAAGCGAATTGTATGCATTTAATTCAACGAAATTATGCGATAATTGGATGCACCGCATATACATCTTATTGTGAGAAGAGATAATCTTTCTATCGCAATACAAAGATGTAACAATTTGAAATATTATATAAGCTTTCTGCCGCTTTTTCTCTAAAAATATATATTTGTCTGCTCTTATCACGCGCGATATTCATTCGCTATCACCGGATAAGTATTATCGACAGGTTCTGAAAGTGGAGTTGTCGACTGCTAAAATCTTTCCTGTTTTTCACAATATTCACGATGAACTCAAATATTTTATCGCTGACCTGTGACCGATGTTGGGCAAAATGTAATCGCGAAAAATGTAGACAACTAACGATTAACAAATAACAAATAACGATTTTTGATATAAGATCAATATAAAATGTATCGTTCAATATTGTCTTGGAGATTTGATCACATATATAATGAAATAATTACATAAGCTATTTCTTTAATACATACGATATAGTCGATTAAATAAGATAATTGATGTTGTCAAGTTTATCGATCAAAGAATATAAAGACTTTTGACGAAAAACGTTATTTGCTTTTTTTATTGTTTAGCCGGAGAATCGAAAAGATCGCATGAACAAACAAGTCGCTATATTTTCTTTTGTATAGTGAAAATCGATACATTTTTTAATGTTTTACACAGGGGATCGTTCATTGTTGATATAATTTATCCCTACAATATTTACAGAATGCTCTTTACAAGGATGTACCATAAAAGATTCAGTTTCAGCCGAGATAAATACTCTTTTTTATGTTGCAATTTTAAAATATCCCGTTCTCGATATAATATGTTTTCAGTCCATGTTTTTAATAAAGTTGAAATAGAAATATGTGTTCGCACGAAAGCCATATCTAGTTTGTAGTAGGAATTTTTCGCGATATTATTTTTATACTATAATCATCTGATGTCGTATCAATGTAGCCAAGAAAATTCTGCGATAAGTCCAATAATCTAATTGATATAAACATGAATTTTTATGATTTTTCGTCGTTCATCACTCTCACTGACAGTTTAAATGTATCAATCCAATTAATAAATTTTCCGTTTATGAAATAATTTCTATTAATCGCAAAACGTAGACATCACTTTACATTACACATCGGTTACTGTATTACTTTCACTTTACACGAGAGACAGTCTTGCCAAAAAGTTTGTTTTCTAACAAAAATATAGGTCACAGGACATATAATTCGAAAATATTCATTATTTGTTTTGTTCCATATTTTAATTTAATTTAACGTTTTAGAATTTGTGTTTGTATCAATATTTGGCAATTTACTCAATGTAATTGCTCGGTAGTCGAAATTATAATTTACATTTTTTTAATCAAATTGATTAAGAAAGGGTCAATATTAACGCAGCTATGTTACGTATATGGCAATCAGTACATGCAAATTTTAATTACAACATATCACCTTGACGAAGTTGATTATAGGTTAATCAAATTATATGCCATACAGCATGCAAATGCATCCACGAGTTTTTCGCGTCGCGTGTATACCGTGCGATAAAAGAGCCAGTTGCTCTAACTGCAAAGAAAAGGTAAAGAGAGAAAACATCTTCCACATCCTTATTAATGGTTTTTATGGGCTATCATCTGGCGAAGATTCTCCACTATTAGAAAAGCGATTTTCCACGCGTGTGCTTCGAGATTAGAATGAAATAGATTGAATAGAATATCGATTGAAAAGTTTTAATGGAGAAAGAATAGTAGCATAGATTCATAATTTACGAAATCTATTTTAAATTGTATTTTATATTTAAAATAGATCTCATTATCTAATATAGATCTCATTAATTATGTTGTAATTTTTCTAAAATTGCAAAAAATACAACATATATGTAATATAAAATATAATTCTAATATTTTCCTGATTCAAAAGAAACACAATTCTTAAAATCCTCAATTACTTTAAAATCACAATAAGTTTTTTTCTAAGAAGCACACAGTAATATTTAAAGCTAATTTATGTGAAAGACTACGTAACCCGCTGCGTAATCAGCAGATTTAATGATCTATCACTTCCGCCCGGCGCAAAGTTAATATTTGCGTGAGAGCAAGTTGAATAGCTCTGTTTTTTCGATTGACAGTCGATTTATTATTAACAGCGACACATGCATCGTACATCGATGTCGCGTGTATTATGGCGTGCGTCGATCTTGTCCGAATGGCAATGCTGTATCTGCCTTTCGTGAAAGTTATTCTGTCGATGGTAGCCGCGGACTGTGCACGTTTGTTCGACGTAGTGTGGCAAAATGTGGCGGAATCGCCGTAGGACGAGAGGCAAGTAACGTAACCGCGTCGAAAATCGCGTGTCCTTTGACATTATCGAGCGATCGTGTCATAAAATCGCTAGTAAAGACAGCTGACTAGCAGGAAAACTCGAAAACTTCGTCCTGAAACGTGGTCCATAAATAATGGCACATTTCGAGAAGCAACGTTCCGGTATTTCTTAAAGTGAAATTTTGCGAATAGTGTTAGACAATGAGAAGTGAGAATTGACATTACGTGTGCAACAATTAATAAATACTTAATTTCTCGCGTAAAATTTAAATAACTCAATTTTGTGGTTGAAAAAATTATACATAATATTGCTTCTTTATCGAAGAAATGCTTTCCAGGATTAAAAAGATGGATGGAAGGAGAGGGTACTATGAAGAGCACTCTTCTCGCCGGACTGGCGGAACTGATTGGTACATCTATCTTGGTGCTTGTGGGATGTATGGGCTGTGTAGGTAGTCTAGGTGTCGTGCCTCCTCATCTACAGATAACGCTAACCTTCGGCTTAGCGGTTATGGTTGTGATCCAGGTCAGTAGGTAATCGGAAGTTTTCGGTTAGCACATGACTGATCGCTCAATTTATTATTATCTTATCTTTACGTGCATTTAAAAATATGACTTTACGTCTTTATGTAATACCGAGCATACCTTGCACACGCGCGACTCTCTTTTAATATTTTTTCAAGAATTACCTTAACGCAGTTATAAATTTGTAGTATAATCGTGCGATTATATTCCATTTACTCACGTTATTATAGTTATCTATTATAATACATTATTATAGTTGTCTGTTATATTATATTCAATTTCTCCATGTATATATATATATATAGTATAAAATTGCGCATTTAATACGTCATCATAATTCATGTTATAATGAAATAAAATGGCACGTCTTTCATCATATTATACCATTGAAACCCCTCCGGGTTGAAAGTAAAAAGCTTAAAGTTTAAAGATATTCGAAATAAACAACATTAATTATATATGATAAACCTGTCCATCCAACACGTTTTACGCGATATTTCTGCGCGTGTAATTTCCGGTGATTAAACAACACTAAAGCTCGAATCGGTTCAAATTATTATAATTTCGACGCGACCGTATGCAGAGACGGGAAGAGATATATATATAAACAGATAGATTTATTTTTATAACTAATTCATAATAATGAAAAAAAGGATAATTGGCGTACAGTATATTTTCCCATAGCATGAAAAATTAAACTCATCGATATTAAACTTGTTATACGTGTTTCTGATTAAGACTATCGCGGATTTATTTATTATATATATCCCACGTATTTTGCAATATTATACAAGCGCGTTTTATCTCTTTTATACTCTTTTATACGCTGTTTTTCGCTCGTATTCGTAAACAGGGTTACGGCAAAACGTGGCGATATCGTTCCGCGATTCGTTAGCGAATACTCGAATTTTTCTAATGCATATAGCGCATATATTTCATTAGCTTTTATTCACCTCGCTTCGTAATTTGTATCCGCGTTACGGTAATTCGGAATTTGTTGTGCGACGCGTTTCTTAATAAAGCAACATTAAGTCAGCATGTTATCGATGATTAAACATTCTTTCTTTGATTTTCCGTTTTCACAGTGTTTCGGCCACATTAGTCAGGCTCATGTTAATCCAGCAATCACAGTGGGAGCTGTCGTTTTGGGGAAAAAAACTATTCCCGAGGCCTTAGTATACCTTGTGTCCCAGGTAATAGGTGCCATTCTGGGATACGGCATGCTAAAGGTAGGTATAAGAAAATTATATATCCTTCTTTATATTTTTCCACTAAATAATATCGCAATTAATTGGATGAAAATAAAGAAAAATAAAAGTATCGATCTGTCTAATAATCGTCGTAAAAAAATTATGCAAGATTGAATAAAATTATTATTTCGTAAAAGATGTATACATGTATGTATAATTATCTCGTTATTTTTATAATTATTTTTTGTTTAAAACAACAGGAAAATTTTATATTTAAAAAAATCAGCAATATTAAAAAAAAATATAAATCTTTATAAAACTTATAATACATGTATAAAACAAATATCATTTTTCCTAAATAGATAAATTAAAATTTAAAAAATATTATAAAACTTTCTATGTTTCTTACGTTAAGTGGTTCGATTTTCATTTACGAATAAAACTGGACGATCGAAACATCGCCAAGTTTTAAATATAGAAATGATACAAAGATACTTTCTAGTTTTGTTGAGACACACACGTGATGACCTTCGATTTATTCGTCGTCGTACTTTGAGTTATACACCGCTGGAACGATACGTACGAAATGTGGATTTTATTAAAGAATTAATTAACGTTTCAATGATATCTTAATGAACGAAAAACGATTATTAAGCAAGACAAATACATTGACGATATTTATGGAGTAATAGAGTGAGAGAGAGAGAGAGAGAGAGAGAGATAGAGAGAGAGATAGAAATAATTCAAGAAATTTTTCCGGCTGGTTTATATCAACGCGCAGCAAAACGCGGGGATCACAACCTTTGTTTAATCAGTAATTCAGTACACGTGTTACTCGATTAATATTTCATGTTCTCGTAATCAGAAAAAAGCCTTACTGTTGCGGTATCTCTGCGTCTTTCGTAGCGACATATCGGCGTGGTAACCTCGATAAGAAGCAAACAAAATAAATAGTAATAATTATCCCTTTTTCCTATAAATGAAAAAATGTATACTTCAGAGTTCATTGATCGCGGAAAACATAGAACAAAGCTCAATATTCATTATGGAAATACTACGTCGCACAAAAAGAACTAATAATCCTGGTAAGACACAAGAGCAAAACTGTTTTAATATAACAGTATAAAGCAAAAGAATATTGTATAAATAATACTTCGTACATATTTCATATTTTTAAACCGTGCTTTTGCGGACGTTTTTTTTTTTTTTTTTGTTGTGACAGTTATTCGATCGCATATAATCAGCGATTTATATAATTTTATAAGCCCGTATTACAAATAAATATTCTTATAAACAATATTCAGTTTTATTTCAATTATACGCGCGTTTTTAATTCTGTTATTAATGCACATTTTGCTCCGTTATAAAATTCTGCTTTACTTTATCCGCAATAAAATCCTTAATTTTATTTTACAATGAACTAAAAAAAAAAAAAAAAAAAAAAAAAAAAAAAAAATGTCGGGACGCAATAATTTTAATCACGTTTCAGAAAGAAGCGTTTACAACTATTGTCTCAACTAACGCTCAATGTTCCTTGCAGGTGGTGACACCGAAGGATTACTTGACATCCGGTACTGCCGAACAGTCGCACCTGTTTTGTGTGACTGATCTGCACGCCGATCTGTCCGCGATCCAGGGTCTGATCCTCGAGGGACTCGCCACCGCCGTTCTGGTGCTGGTATTCTGTTCCGTGGTAGACCCGAGAAACGAGAGGAACACGGACTCGGTGGCATTAAAGTTCGGCCTTACGGTGGCCGTATTGGCGACCGCATTTGGGCCCTACACCGGTTGTAGCATGAACCCAGTGAGGTCATTCGCGCCCGCATTGTGGAACAATGAATGGTCGCATCACTGGGTCTACTGGTTCGGCCCGATGGGCGGAGCCCTAATTGCCTCATTCGCATACAGAACTATCTTTAGTGTTTCCGAGAACATTACCGAGGACGAAGAGCCCACCGCCGAAGCGGTTGCGCTCAACAGCGTGGATGCCCACAAAACCGAGGTAAGATGGTTGAACGATTAAATAAGAAGGAAAACCTAAGACATGTTACTCATCGATTCGATTTCGTCTTTCATCGTAAGATAATTAAATCGCGCGATAAACTGTGTAAATATAAAAGCATGTATTTTAAATAACTGTACTATTATTTAAAATGTTACATCCAATTAATTTTTCTAAGATCAAAAAGTGCTTTCTTTGTAAATTAATTTAAATAAAATTCAAATAGAACATTTCATTAAATATTGTTAAAATATATTCCACGACAAAGTATTAATACCATAAATATTACAAAGAAGTAATTAATTCGTTAAATTGCATTTATTATTATTATTACAGTTGTCGTGATTTTTATTGCGTGAAAGATTGTTTGTGCATATTTTTACACAGTTACCAGCTTTGTTGCAATTAAAAAATGTATTTTATTATGAAATATCGGAACCGCCTGTCAACAATTAGTAAAATACAATATTATAGTCGAATGTAATTTGTTTGCGACAATAGAAATAGTAATTTGTATAAGGAAAAATCAACCGACTTGGCACAAACCTTGTTTTTTAATATATATTATAAGGATAAAACATTATAAGGATAAAAGTTACGAAATGCGTGCGAATCTCTCGCATAAGAGAAACTGCGTCCCGTTTTAGCAATAATTCTCGTTAACGACGTTTCGGCGAAATTAACGGCCATCTTCGTGCGACTTTTAACGACCCTTTAAAATACGGGAGGGACGAGGCTCACGTGACTTTATCATGTAAACGCCATACCCACTATGCATCAGGGTTCTTCGCATGACGCGGATTATCTTGTAAGGGCCAGCCGTAAAGGTCGACGATAAATCGCTAGGTGGGCAAGGAAGTTCAGTAAAACTGTTTTACGGAACGTTACTGGGGAGAGCTGGATTTAACGTTGTCGGTTTACCCCGATTGTCGCGAGCTTTAAAGTGGATAAGAAATAGAGTCGTCCGTCCCGACGATATTGTATTTTATTCTGTACGTATCTCTCTTTATTTCACTGTCATCGCAGGATTGCGATTTTACTCGCATCCGATTACAATCACCTGAAAGCTCTCTCAACAAAAGCGACCTGGTTTGGAGCGTGTAAAAATCCGCTCTATAAGTATTATCTACGACGAGAGTACGGTGCGAGAATATTAAAACAATTCTTAAAAGTTTGCGCGTATCTTTGCGTTTTTTATCTCTTCGCAGTATTTAAAGAATTGCCATATTCTTCGTTAAACAACGCACGTTGAAATATTCTTTTGATTATTATGCAAAAACTATCTGAGAGAAAATTAATTTTATCTACGTTGCAATTGAAAATATTATTCTAATTTCAAGCTCTTTCGAGCAGCAAGAAATAATCTCCATTCATTTCAATTAAAATATAACGGTACATTATGCTCGGCCAATATTAATTGTGAGACCGCTATTTATTAACCGCAGTACAGTGCACGGTGGAATAGCCGTTATTCAGACAATTCTGTGATTATTAGCGATCCTCAAACATCCTCATTTTCCCGCGGCATTTTCGGGCGCAAAATATATTTCCGCGATTCGTGATTTTCGATCCAGTCGCGACCGCGATTCAAAATGCGCGCTGAAATTAATTGATATTACCACATTCCTCTTTCAGCAGCCCTAATTTCAATGGCGAGACAGGCACAACCAATGTGACAGGCGGTAAAAAGAAGCTAAAACTCGATCGATATTTTTTCAACACGAAGAAAACCTTCAAACATCTCTTGAGAAGATAGATACTTTGAAACGCACAGACAATTTTCAATGACGAGTCAGCTTCAAATAGTCAGAATTATGAAAGGAGCTTCGAAACTCATCGTCAATCAGAAGATGTACTCGAAATCTCCGAGATCATCGTCAACATAAAATGACGTAGCCATCATCACGTGCGTATCCTCGTACAACCGCAAGTCACGCTGTTTCTCAGTGTTAATTTGATAAAATTATTTGATTTTATTAAATCGCGATCGTTTTGTTATCATCATTGTTTTTTTTTTCAATAATCCAGTTTAAATTGAAATCAGATAAATGAGGCTTCCGCGTTCTTTTATCCAAGTCTTAATATCTAACTAACAATAAGTATGCTTGCCCGCGTTTAATCAGATATTTTTGGTCTATCCTGGCAAAACTCTCGCGCGCGATGTGTGAAAGCATCTCGACGATATGATCGTCGAGAGTGGACTCATAATCTTACGATCAAATCTCAATTGATATGGAATGTGAAATTAATTTCGAATAAACCCGTTGTGTGCCACTTTCTTTCTGTAATATAGTGTATATTCGCTATAAAATACCTCGATTATCTGTACAAGTTTATTGTATGTATATATATATATATATATATATTATTTTCTTTCTTCATCTGCTATACGTACGTTAGAGACAAGTACAAATTTACGACTCGATGAGAATATGAATGTGGCGAATAAACATTCAAAAATGTACATCTAATTACAAAAAAAAACAACACTTTTATGTTAACTCTTTTGTTTTCAGTTTGATAATAAATCGAATTTCACGAAATTAATCTATAGTGCCATATTTTCATTCTCTTTGATTCGTGCGCCTTTTGCATGGTAAATATATTATAGTTATCGCAATCCGATTATATGTTATAATACTCTTACGCGATATCGCTTGACAAACTTCACTTTTACGTTATCCGTTCGTTTAGGCAAAGCGCACTGTTTCGTACTCGCGTTTGTTAGTCGTCCGGATTCATCGCCGGAAGCGGAAATGTCGATTCCAGAGCGACGAAAAAGCCGCGACCGATGACTCTTTACGTACCAATTTTTGTTACATGAATGTATACACTATCGTTATTTCTATAGTCACGCATATATACTTGCTCCAAGCTATCGCTATGGCGGGAGAAATGTTTCGTCCGCTGGAAAAAAGCTCTTTTTCGAAAAAGGCAGCTTTCGAGCATTTCCAAACAAGTAACGTTTCACTATTTATAAATTTTATCAACAGACGCACAAATATACCTGTAAAAAATATATATAAAATGGCATAATCTCTCACATTAAATATTTGTCTATTTGTACACGCACTATCCTGTTATATCATACTTCCTGCAGAACGAATTATCTGTTTGAATTATATAAAGGGAAACGATCCAGAAGAATATTATCAAAGAATTGATATGTTGCATTTTATTTCTTAAGTTTCTACTCCTTAAATATAAAACCTAATCGCTATTCAATTAAAAAAAGATTTTAAATTTTTAGATGAGCTCTAATGTTTTAATTATTTAATTTGTTTGATAATTATAAATAATATTATATATATAGATATACATGTGTGTATATGAAAAAAAACATTTCCGTGATGAACATTGTAATAAAATTTTGCTTTTACGGAGGGTGCTTTTAATGTTTGTAACATATTTTCTCTATTTTATTATTTTAATTATCTTTTTAGTTTTATTTCAAGCAAAATGAAATATATTGTTAATATAAGCTGCTCTATATAGCTATCTCTATATCTTGCTGTTACAACGAAGTTGAAAAAAATACTAATAATCCTCGCATGCGCATTTTAATTGAGTTTTATGCTCGTAGCGCGATAAATGAAAACGCGTAAATAAAAATAACTTTGATTGAGAAGGATTGAGCGAGTGTCATCGAAAAAAATATGACGTACGTAAAAAGTGTAACTTTTTGATTTTCCCCTTTGCCGCAGGCTGTCTGATGCGCCGTCAAAATTTTGTAACTCGTTCGCGAATATCTACGCTGCCGGTTCCGATCGCGTCAGGATACAAACACTTCATCAATTTGTCCGAAACGATAAAAAAATATATGACAGAGACTAAAACAGCGTCATGTCTCTTTTCGTATGTTTTAATCGCTACGTCGTTAATCGGCCATCGATTGCAGGACTATTTGTCCGTGCACAATATTTGTAATGTTACGTTTAAATTATAGTCGCCTAACAAATCATATATAATTGTCTCTGAATACGCGTGTGATCATTAATACCGTCCTTTGACTGTGACATATTGCAGCGTGTATTGTGGAAATTGCAACAAGAATATAAAATATTCATAATATTCTTCTGTTCCTCTCGCAATAATATATATTCTCGTGTCTATCTTTATAAACTGCAATAAACCGTTCATAGTTGTATACAAATTCACGCGTCTTAATAGACAAGTAAAAATGAGATTTCGTAAATATTATATGCACGCGAATGCGCGCATTAGGTATTATTTATTTTTTTCTTCGTTGTTTATTTTCGTACACATTCATCATTTATCAAGCAACAATGTGAAAAAGATAACGTAAAGCTGTGCAGAATGCACAAATTATACTTTTCGCGTCTATTATTTCTTTTCAAAGAAGCTATGTACTGGGTCAACTGAATGAAGTCGCTACGAGTGCTACGAATTAGAAAAAGAAGTATCGACGGATCTCGCAGAAGAAATTGATTTGGGTGCAAAAAGGGGCGTGTTACCACGGTGGTAATGGTGACGCGTCCCGAATAACTTTTCAACTCTCTCCCATTCACCACGTTCTGCGTTTGCAACGTGTCGCCTGGCGCACCAGCCGTTCGTGACTGCCTCGTACTCGGGGTTTGCTGCAGTACAGGCGCATCTGTCAGGTGCCTTTCCCTCCCTCGCCCCTTCATCCGCGTATATTGGAAAACGGGATATGCCGCTGCGTTTTCGTAACGTCTTCTAACAATGCTCGAGAAATTTTCGCGAGAATTATCCGAAGACGCAGAAAAAAGTTACGGCCGCATGCGATGCCGTTTCATAAAAATATCACGCCGCGTTGACGGACGGATATTTCGTATTCAATTAAACGCGGTATATTAACTATCCAGATGAATGAATAAAACAACAAGCTAGCACTCCTACCCGAATATACTCGTATATAGGGTGTCCACACATTTCGCGAGGTTATTCGTAACGATATTTTCACGGTTAGTAATATTTACTGAATGTGAATAAGATTAAGAAAAGAAATATTCAAAAATGAAGTTTGAAGAGTGCAAAACAATAACAAAAATCTTATTCTTTGGTTAATTTTAATTATTTAATTTTATTTTACGCTATAAAAATCTTAACTCTTTAGGCAAATTAAAATTCATATTATTGTTAAGTAATAGAAATTTTATTTCACGTAATTTTATTTGTCGACGAGGGATACGAGTAAATGCAATTGCAAATATGGCAAACACCCTGTATATATAATACCACATTTTGTGCAAGTGGGTCTCGCGGGAACGATAACTCGTGACGTAATGCAAAATTAGACAAGAACGGGGGCTGGCTTAAGCAAAAATGGAAGAGTGGTCCGGGAAAAAAGATGTAAAACGCGATAAAAGAATTCAAAACCAAATAAAAAGAAAAGAAAGCAAGGAGAGATTGCTCGCGCGAGCAAAACTACATCCGAATGTCACTACGAGGATGTCTCGCACGCGTTTGGGATACATTTTTCCTTTACGGAAAAGAAAAGTAATATTTTCGTATGATTTACATGCCGGGCGGTAGGTCGCTCGTTAATAATTCAATTTTCAATCTGGTCTTAATGCTCGCCGGGCTTTCCCCAACTTCCATCCCCTTCCCTTTCCATTCTCGTCTCTCTCTTTCCCCTAGCTCTCTTTACTTTACGTTTTCGTGCCACCGTCGCCGTTTCCGCCCGGCGCGTTTTTCTTTCTCCTTTTATTTTTTTTTTATTCTTTTCTTTTTATTCGTCGGCACTTATTCCGCCATGTCGACGTCCAGATAAGGGCGAAATAAGTACGGCGAGCGTGAATAAATTTTTACATCGCTGTCCAAGTTCGCCTTGTATTTTTCGCGTTTGCGCGTAATCAAAAGCAACGGAATTTTACAAAGAAAAAGAAAAGAGAACGGATAGATATCTCTCTTTTAAAAATTAATGAAAATTTCATCGTCGAGACGCGAGAACGAAGATATCCGCCACAACGGCAAGAAGCAAAGAGACATTCAAGGTCGAACTGCGAGTGGATTAAGCGGTCGAGGTTGGATGCTAATTAAAGCATAGTTCGGCGTTTCCGCGCGGGACTGGTTGATTCGATTAACTATAGGCGAAGTTTCACGTCTCCTACACGTTACTATAGCCTAATATTCAAATAAATCGCCACCGATGCATTACAAAATGTTACACGATCTATAAACGCTCGAATGAGCTCTCGCCGTCCTACTTGTTATCGCAATATCTCATATCATTATTTAATTTAAAATTTTGGTATTAAATAATTCGCGTATAAAGATAAGAAATTGCATTAATTGTTGCAGAAAAGAGATATATGTAAAAGAAAAAAATATTTTTTAAAAGTAAAAAGAAAAAGAAAGAAAAAAGAATTTTGCGTAAAAGAAATCTTTTTCTATATATTACATCTTCTTTTTTCTAAAGTTATTAGAAATACAATTTTGATTATTATATATTTTTAAATTTGTGCAAAGTTCCTTTCTAGAGAAGAAAAGTAATTTAAAAAATTAATAATAAAAATAAAAATAGTGTTTAATATATGCATAATAAAGAAATAATAATTTTCTAGAAGCACAGACACTTGTAAAAAATAGATGTTCTTTATTTATATTTCGTAAACATATTCTTTCTGCAATTATTCAAGTCTTCAATCATGATTTCATTTAATTTAATCCTAAGGATCTTTAAGACTCATTAAAGTCTTGTTTCGTCCACGATATTCTTTAGTTAAAATTTATTATCTTTCTAATTAATCTTCTCTCTCGAAGAAATCTGAAATAACTTTGTTACAGTATATAAATTAAATTTTCCAAAATTATTTTTATATTTCATTAAGTTTGTAAACTTTGTTAAAAGACTACAGATCATAAAATAATTTATGCATAACCGAAAATTTCTTTGCTTTATTTCATTTAGTTCAACGTTATGACGTTTGGTAATATTGCAGATATAATGAAAATATTGATAATATCGTAATAATTGTAGAGAAGAACATAAACATGTCTTAATTACTTATATCTGTAATTAGCAAAATAGGAACTTAGCGAGTACTCGTGCGGGTATTTGATCGAATAAACTCATCAATGTTCTCATAAACTTTGCTATAAAACTAAACGGCAGCAGCCTCGGGCGGCGCGCACATTACATTCCTTTAATCCGTTTACTTGTTCCACTTTTCCTGAGTAATACAGTTTCATAATTATACGAGCGTATACGAACTTCAAGAGCGTATGCAAAAGAATGTTGCACGTACCTGTGATCACCATCACTTTGTAATTAAATTTATATGATTAGAAGAATTATCTTTTTCGGCGAAATTACATATTTGTTGTATTTTTGTGTGTGTGATTTCAAAAAGAAAGATATCATAACATTTATGATGCCACTTGGTATTTCTTCATTCAGAATTCTAAAGAAAACGCATACGAAAAACACAATAAAAAAATAAAATATACATATTTTGTAATAAAACCCAATGTATGAGAAAAACATATTTATTAAAATCTTGGAGCAAAAATTTCAATGTTAAAAATTTAATTATGTTATACATTATATTGCATATTTTTTTTTGTATTGAAAGTATAAAGATTTTTTAAATATTTCAATTGACCACGTGTTTCATTGTTACTTCAAATTTGGCAAATTTAATTTTACATTTCTAATTACAGCATTATGAGACAACTTTTTGAAAATAATTCGCGTGTAAATCGTTATAAATCATTTTTTAAAAATAGGATAAGAAAAATTTCCGTATGCGTGATATTTGCAAATATAATATTCTTAAGACAGCATTTACTCTTTGAAACAGAAAAGTAAATCAGGAAACTTCTTCCTAAAATAAAGATTCGAGGGATTTCCTCCTTCAACCCTGATCCTCTAAAGATCAATCAACGAATAATCAAGGAAACTCTGACATTTCTTGAACAAGATTTATTACGCAAACTTATTTCTCAAAAGCCTTTATTAGAAATGAAATTTAGAGAGTTGAGTGGAGGATCAATACGGACAGAGATCACGAGGGTTAACCGACAGGAAATGATCGCGTGCAGAGTGGCTCGCCGCGAAAGGAAAAACATATTGTTCCTCGAATGCAATGCGGTATCGATTTCATTTTCTGTCTCAAGGACAAATCGCGGTGATTTTAAAAGCCGACCTACCGCAGTCGCGGATATACATGTTGGTCCG